TGAAAATTTAAAAATTTTGTACGTGGTAGAGCCATGCTGCAGCTATATTAGTAGTATAGTTGTAGCACGAATGGGTCGGCTCGACCGGGGAAAGACCACGCTCTCACAGAATATCAGCGTCAAATAGCAGCTTAACACAACTGTGTTTCGTACGGTGAGTGTAGAGAACCGGAGACCCTTTTTATTGGAAAAGGGGCATTCCATCTTAGTCCTCACGGGTGACAACGCATCTGCATTTTGATTCGTAAACGAGGATAAATGTAGATGTCTATGGGTCACAGCAATCACTTACCATCAGGTGGACTGTGTGCTTGTTTGTCACCCTATCCTAGAAAAAAATGTGTTTTAATTGTTTTTTGATAATTTCTCACCATACAAATGTGAAATCGTCCCGTAAGTTAAAAAGTGTGGTACAAAATGTAACACCCTAATTTACTATTTAAGGTTCCAAAATCCTTTCTTAGTGAATGCCTTCGTAATAAAAGGAAGTTATTGTCCTAATTTCACGCTTCTACATCATCAGCAGCTTGAGCTGTGCATCCTAACACAATATTTTGCATATACTTTACACCCTCGTTTTAAAATTTAAAGGTAAATTTTAGTAAAAATAATTTTGTAACGAAGTTCCTTATCGGACGGTACGAATTTGGCAGATGGAGGCTAGGCGAGAAAAAGTGTAAGACAAGTAACTTTGGGTCAATATTCCTGTATAAGAAAGTGAGGTATTAGTCGATTTATCATGAAAAACTGCCTTAAAAATCTAAAACTTCAAACCCTCGTAAAAATTATCAGGGGCAATTGCGCCAAACATCCCTTTGGGGTTTTTATCATTTATGTAGATAAACATGTAACAATCGGAGGTGTCCCTAGAACGGATCTCTACCCTTTATTTTAAATGACGCTTCATTTTCATAGACGCTAGTAATTCATTTATTTGTATTTGTTAATCTATAATATAATACGTTTATCTTCTATAATATAAAAATGAATCGCTGAATGTGTTGTTAAGCGCAAATCTCGAGAGCAGCTGAACCGATTTCGCTAATTCTTTTTTTATAATATTCTTTGAAGTACGAAGTTGGTTCTTCCGGAGAGAAAAATTTAAAAACTTGCCCGAAAAAGTCAAAAAACAACACTTTTCTATATTCCCAAAAGATTCGTAATAATACTTAAAAGTCAATTTGAACTTTAATAACATACCATAAAGTTTAAGTGTTAGTGGAGGGGTTCCGGGAAGGCAAAACAATTGAGTGACTTTATTATCGTATAAATATTAATGTCAATATTTGTCAAATAACTACACGCGGGCGAAGTCGCGGGGAACAGCTGGTCAATAATAATATACAACGAAAGGAACTTCGTTCCAACCGAGTGTTTCACGACACTCACGCATGTTTTTTATTATTTTCATTCAAGAGTATTTGTAGCACTTCTTAAATATAAAAGCATTAAGAACTTTTAGTGTGTCTTTGAAAAATCTCAAAATCTGTCTTCATTTATTTTATTTACAGAGTAATAGGTATTGTAGCTGTTGTTTATACTTGATAGAGCCATGCCACAGCAAAATTATGGTTGTAGCACGAATAGGTCTACACGACCGGAAAAGGACAACGCTCTCACAGAATACCAGCGTAAAATAGCAGCTACTGTGCTTCGTATGGTAAGCTTAGAGAATCGGAGACCCTTTTTACTGGAAACGAGGCATTCCATATTAGTCCTCCGGTGTGACAACGCATCGGCATTTTGATTCTTAATCTAGGATAGATGTAGATGTCTATGGGGTACAGCATCCACTACCCATCAGGTGAACTGTGTGCTCGTTTGTCACTCTTATTCTAAAAGAAAAAAGATTTCTTACAATGCGTAATAATCTAAATGCGCATAAATCTACCTCGGTGTTAAAGTTGACACTAACTTCTCGTGGTCCAGCCATGTAGATTATATTTGTAATAAGTTAAGATTACTTCTTAGTCAATTTAGTCACTTAAGCTTTAAAGTTCCTTCTGCTACTTTAAAATGCTTATATTTCTCATTGGCGGATTCGATTTTGGGATACGCTCTTGACAGTTATGGTCTTACATTCAAAACCTACATTGATAAGCTTGAAGCACCACATGTTAGATTTTTAAAGTTACTAGTTAATAAAAAAACTAAAGATATTCGTAAAGGTGATAATGCAAAATACTAATATTACGTTTAAAAAATAAGTATTTGCTTGCCATAAATAATTACAGCTGTTGAGAGCACACTCTAATACTAGTTAAGCATGGTCAGGGTACACGGTCGATATCTGCAGGCAAATTTGTAGTACCTAAAGTAAATAATTACTACCGGGATAGAACTTTAAAGAAACGTCTACCGTACTTTCTCAATACACTGCCTGAGGATTATCGACCTGAACCAGTAAAAACATAATTAAAAACAAATTAAAGAAATACTTCTTGGCTACTCTTGGTGCTTAACTTCAACATTATTATGTAAATGCAGCGCTTGACTACGAGAAAACTTCCCAGAGTAAGAGGTAACGTATTCTAGATAGGCTATAGGTGTGAAGAATTTGAAGTGCCATAGTTTGTAATTATCCTGGCACTCTTATATATACCGTGTACTAGCGGTGTAAGAATATCCACTACCCCATATCATCCCGTTGGGTGTTGTAAGAGGCAACAGAGGAAAACAAATCAGGATATAGGCAGCAACGTCTTCCTAATAGCAACATAAAATAAAAAACTGCGTTTACCAAACCCCTTGCCAAGCATAGCTAACTATGGGATTTATCCCCCTATGAGGCAATCTATGGGAAGGCCTATGTTCAGCAGTGGACTTTAACAGACTGTAATGGATGGATGTACAGAAGATAATATACCAGGAGCACATGACCCACTGAGAGGTGAAATTATTAAATCAACAGTAACATTACAACTATGACAAAATATCCTCTATGAGGCAATCTATGGGGAAGGTCTATGTTCAGCAGTGGACTTTAATAGGTTGTGAAGGTAACGGTAACGGTCTATAGCAGAGCAGAGGAGTGAGTGCACTGCTATTTTGGGGTCCGAAATATGCAAGAAGATCGTTTTAACCCACATTTATTCCTAGGAAATAAGGAATCCTACCACTTAGTAATATGTTTGTCTGTCTGTAAGTCATATTTTTTAACAAAAACTTTTAAAAGGCTTTCTTTGTGTTACCACCACATATCCAACCAAAACCAAACCAAATACGAATGGCAACCAAGGATAAATATGAGAAATTAACCTAAAAAATTAAGTTTTTTTTATAGGATCAGGGTGACAAGCGAGCACACAGTCCACCTGATGGTAAGTGGCTACTGCAGTCCATGTACACCTGCAGCCAACTTCAAACACACCAAGCTACAGATCCATCACCCCTTAGTGGAATTCTTCACCTTATAATATGCTAACATTCAGACTGGAATACAACAGTGCAAGCACTATTATTTGGCGTTAGAAATAGAAAGAGACGGACAGACGGGATATGCAGATAAGAAGCCCTATCTACGCTATGTAAATATTTGCCGTTCCACTGCTGGGTACAGGCCTCCCCTCATTCCTGAGGGGTTTAGAGTCCGTACACACTACCAACACTATGGACAACGTATTCGTTGGTCACATCAGTTTTATAAAAAAAAAAGTTGCATTTAACATGACCATAAGCTAACAAATACCGTGTAGTGGAAGAGTAAGAATATCCACTACCTGATATCGTTTCGTGGGTGATGTAAGAGGCGACAGAGGGAAATGGAAACAGGAGGTGGGCAGCAGCATCTTCTTGATAACAACTTAAACGACAAATGAGCACACAGTCCATCTGATGATAAGTTGATGCTGTGGCCCATAGACATCTATATCTACCCTCGATTACTTTTCCAGTAAAAATGGTCTTCGCTTCTCTACACTCTCCATAGGAAACAAAGCAGCATTAAGCTGCAATTTTACGCTGGTATTCTGTGAGAGCGTGGTCTTACCCCGGTCGAGCTACACATTCGTGCTACAACTATAATATATCTGCAGCGTGGCTCCACTACGAATAAAACGATAAATTGCGGATTGTCAACCCGCGTCCCAGGCGTGGCAACTGTGGCGAAATCCCTCCTTAAGAGACAATCTATGGGGGGCCTACAGTCATGATATGATATGATATATCATGTTCATGGTTTGATTGATCTTTTTTATAGGAGAGGGGGCAAACGAGCATGCGGCTCACTGATGGTAAGCGACTACCGCCGCCCATGAACAACTGCAACAACAGGGGAACCAGGGGAATTGCAGATGCGTTGCCGGCCTTTTAAAAAGGAGTAGGCTCTTTTTTTCAAGGTCCCTAAGTCGTATCGGTCCGGCAAAATCGCTGATGGTAATCGAGTCTACTAGGAAGTTGTGCGAGGAAGAAAACATCTTCTAAATCGCACAGTGGTGGACCACCAATCATCCAGATGGTGTGGATGGTATCGGGAGTTCTGCCGCGATGTGCGTTCGTGAAATTTGGCGGCTGGGATTAATCCGAACAATTTTTGATTTTTAAGCTAATATATAAATCACTATAGTTGATTTAATAATAAATAAAAAAAAACTTTCAAGTGATAATCTTTAAAGAATATTAGCTTTTTATTCTGTAATTAATATTACATAATGTGTTCATGTCGGAAAAATGTTATTAATAATTTTGAAGAACGACCAAAGTTTCGATAATATTTCTGAACAGTTTAGGGTGCTTACGTTGTCTATTAGGCAACAAAGTGACAGTTTTCTGACACAGTGTCACCTCTCACAAACACAATTAAAATGTACCACAGGCTTACCGGCACATGTACCGCCGAAGATAGCACCATTGCGCATTCTGGCAGCACGTCACGTATTAATGCTTGTATATAAACCAAGCCCTGAACTTCCCTGGCATACATTGTGACCGCTTATCGGACGGCAGTCGGACGCATCTGCCGTCAGCAATTAATAAAATATATTGTGGATATTAAGTGCAAAATGAAGTTATTAGTGATTTTATCGCTCGCGGCTCTTGCCAGTGCTCATAATCCAGCTTCGAAGCTGGTAAAGAACATTTATAAAGAATGTTTGAGTCAGTATTCCGTAGAGTGTGTGAAACCGAGAACCCTGGAATGGATTTCGCAAGTTGCTAACGATGACGAGATCAAGATCACGGATAATCTTTCGATTGTCAAGATGGGAACCCTGGAAGAAGACGGTGACGTCGACCCAAGGATGGCTAAGGACCCTACTTACGCCATGTTCGACAAAGTAGACCGCTTTCTCCAAACTCATACCCTCCGAGTGAAAGTGCCTGATGAGATTCTTAACAGTGCTGCCTCCGAATATGTACCTAGGTCTCTTCTTACAGACTTGCCTTCTGAATTAAGCATGCCCTTAGATGGCGAAGAAGAGGTCGAGACTTTCGAAGGTAGAAAGAAGAAAATCAAGCTCCCCAAGCCTTTGAGGATCAAGAGCAGTACGTAACTGAATTAGGGAGTGAATACAACTCAAAGTTTATTACCTAAATATTGACATATTGTTTTCTTTTTCAGAACATGGTTTTATTAAGAAGGTGGTGTTGCCTTTCCTTCTCGGTTTGAAGTTCAAGACAGCCGTCCTCGTGCCGTTAGCTCTTGCAATGATCGCTCTGAAGACGTGGAAAGCACTCACTCTTGGTCTCATCTCCCTTGTTCTTTCCGGTAAGTAATGAGAATGAATATCATAACATCGATTTCATATGGATTATTGTTTTAATAGAGCTAAGAAACATTGAACAGTATTCTTAGAACAAATAACGACAACAAATTTTGTATTAGTTCATTCTTGTAATGCTGCTTTAAAAATTTTTTTTTTAATAGGATAAGAGTGACAAACGAGCACCCAGTCCACCTGATGGTAAGTGGTTGCTGCGGCCCATAGATATCTACATCTATCCTCTATTACAAATCAAAATGTAGATGCGTTGTCACCTGTGAGGACTAAGATGGAATGCCTCATTTCCAGTAAAAAGGGCTTCCGGCCACCTGCACTCACCAAGCGAAACGCAGAGGTAAACCACTACTTCACGCTGGTTTTCTGTGAGGTCGTGGTACCACCCCGGTTCAAGCCGGCCGATCCGTGCGACAGCAAAAGCTGCCGCGTGGCTCTACCACTGTTAAAAAATAGAATTATATGAATATTTTAAACATATAATCAATATAATTTATTTACAGGTGCCATGGTCATCTTCAAATTCACGAAGCCTAAGGTTGTGAACTACGAAGTCATCCACTACCCTCAGCACCATGTTGAACATCATGTAGACCACCACGCTCCTGGCTGGGACTCTCATGGTCCTTACCAAGCCCGATCGTACGAAGACGCTCACGAAATCGCCTACTCCGGCCAAATTTAAACCAAAAAGTCATAATAAGCTTTAAGATAATACGGACCTCTGATTAATTTATTTAAATTATTTATTCTATTGTAAATAAAGTCTCTATGTTTTAAGTTTCAAATTCTACTCAAGATCATTTATTTGTACTTTTACCTTTTTCTACCTCAATACTAAGACACTTTTGTCATATGACGTTTCTGAATCTGTATTATTGAAAAAGTCTCTACGAACAAATTTAGAAACAGTTTTTGTTTCATACAATTGCTTCCTGCTTGAGCTATGTACTGCATAAATATTGTATCTAGGCGCATCAGGGAAAATGTTTTCATGTGCATTATCGACAACAACGTTCCCTTCGTTCTGAATGATCTCGTCTTCAATATCATAAGGCTTGATTTTAAAAAAGTCGTTTTTAAGTGAACTTTTAAGGTTTTCGTGAGTGGCGCTTTCCACATTAAATCTTTTATAGTTTCTTGTAGTTCTTTCTTGTGAATGTTGTATAATAGATTCTATTCGCCTCAATTTCGCGCCCGTTTTCTTTTCTTTGAATCTTGTACTTTCGTTTGAATCAAAATTCATGACGACGCGCTTAGTGTCCGGTCTGTTTAAAAGTACTTGATTAGAAAACGTTGTATATACTTTGGAACGCTTTAAAGGATTCATTTTGTAAATGTTGAGTAAGGCTTTGAAAGTGTTTTCTGCATGTCCTCTTTTTACTCTTTGATGAAAGATTCCACGTGCTGATGTTGCCGTTATCTGTGAAATTTATTGAATTTTACGTTAAAAACATGAAAAACAGTGGTAGAAGAGTAAGAGATATTTATTTATGCTCTCGATACTAATGTAAAAGTAGTTCAATAGATGGACCCTTAATAAAAAGTAAAAAAAACACAGATTTACGGGAGATGATGTATGTAGATTGTGTGTAGTTCAAAAACCTATGAGCTATACTGGAGTCAACTAATCTATGCGTATGCACTAGTTTTAGCCTCTGGATATGAATATAGGAGTAAGCAATGTTGTGACGACGCTGACACTGTCGGTGACCTCATTTAATCCTGATAGCGTTGTAAAAGGCGACCACATGAATTGTTACTAGCAGTTCATGTGGTCGCCTTTTCTAAATCCGTATGGTTTCGGATTGACGGCGGGATAGCTATCTTGTTTACATCAGGCGTACAAAACCCTACTCAGTGAGGTTTGGTATAGAGGTCTTTGATGCGCCGACCAAGCGTGACGATGAAAGCGAATATTTCCTGCAACGGGAGTGGACCAAATGCGTCACTGCAGTCAGATTACAAAGAAAAATAGAATAAAATGTGATAATAAGCGTGATAGAAGAATACAAAAGTTTTATACAACAGCATGCAAATCAGTCGACTCGAAGAAACAAGGACTATGCTCACTCTAGCAGGTCAGATGAACCGGAAACTTGAACGAGTAACTTAAAATGTAACATTTTCAACAGCTCTCTGTTGGTCACTGGGTACTATTTTAATTTATTTTCATACCTTAAAAGTGTGATTCGTGCACAATTTATTTTGATTTTGACATTAATAGCATATCATGTACATATCAAAAAAAGATTCTACATGCAAAATTAAAGGTACAATCAATTTGGTATCCGTATTATTAGACGAGTAGGTACATTTAATCTAATGCAAAGAATTTAGCCTCATTACGCATTTGCTCACGTATTAGTGAAACGAGGGTGTAAAGTTCCGTTCGGCCGTAAGGGAAATGAAGTCATTGTTTCTATTGTCTATCAGTACAAAAATAGAAGTGAAACTCCATCTAATTAGATATCGTATACGATGGAAGGTAAGCGAAGACTTGACCTGATGCTAAAGCCACTTCTGAATATTGATGCAAAAGTAAAACGGATTCAACGTGTTTGTAAGTACGAAAGATATATACTTTCGACCGTAGCCTAATGGATCAGGAACAGAAACTCACAGCGAGCTTGATAGTCGTGTTTTCGAATCCGTTATTCACCTACTGTCGTGAACCACTACTAACTCGAGCACTTTAAGCTTTTTCGAAGTTCATCCATTACCATCACAGCCTATAAAAGTCTACTGCTAAACATAGGTCTTCCCCTAGATTGTGTTTTAGGGGAGATTTGCAACAGTTGCCACACTTGGCAAGTGAGTTGGCAACCGCTTTTTTAAACAGGTAATGCTATTAACATTAAATACTCATTTGACTTTAACCACTAAATATAGTACCGTAATATAAATAGTAGGTAGTAATTTCTTTTTGTTTAAATATTGGTGACTAACGAGCACACAGTCCACCGGATGTTAAGTGCGCTGTTGTGGCCCATAGATATCAACACTTATATCCTCGTTTAAGAATCAAAATGTGTGGATACGTTGTCACACCTGAGGTTTAAGATGGAATGCCTCTTTTCTAGTAAAAAGGGCATCCGGTACTCTACACTCACCATACGAGACACGGCAGCATCAAGCTTCTATTTTACGCTGGTATTCTGTGAGAGCGTGGTCCCTCCCCGGTCGAGCTGACCCATTCGTGCTACAATTATAATATAGCTGCAGCGTGGCTATACCACCTAGTGACAGCGTAAGAATATCCACTATACCATATCACCTTTTACGTGGTAGAGCCATGCTGTAGCTATATTAGTAGTATAGTTATAGCACGAAGGGGTCGGCTCGACCGGGGAAGGACCACGCTCTCACAGAATACCAGCTTAAAATAGCAGCTTAACGCTGCTGTATTTCGTATGGTGAGTGTAGAGAACCGGAGACCCTTTTTACTGGAAACGAGGCATTCTATCTTAGTCCTCACGGGTGACGACGCATCTGCATTTTGTTTTATTAACGAGGATAGATGAATATGTCTATACCATCAGGTGGACTGTGTGCTCGTTTGTCGCCCTTATCTTATAAAAAAATCATCCCGTAGGTATCGTAAGAGACGACAGAGGTAAATGAAACAAGAGATGGACAACAGCATCTTCCTGCTAATAATTCAAAATAACACCGATAATAAAAAAAACTGCGATTGCCAATCCACTTGCCAAGTGCGGCAACTATATTAATTACCATTATTAGGCAATTTATGAGGTAGGTCTATGTTCGGCAGTGGATTTTTGATAGGTTTTGATGGATGGATGAATTCACGCATACAGCTACTCATCATTAACATAGGCCTCCCCAAGGAATACCGCAGAGCACGTTCCTAAGCCACCTGCATCCATCGTTTTACCAGGTCATCACTGCATATATTGGTGGGTTGCCCCACACTTCGTTTATCGGTACGAGGCTGTTACTCGACAACCTTTCTTACCCACTGGTTGTCGGTTCTTCGAGCTATATGGCCGGCCCATTGCCACTTCAGCTTACTAATCCGTTTACTAAATAGGCTACTTAATGTAAATTAAATCTTAAAATTGTCTTACCAGTATAGTGCCGATTATAATCACACGAACTAAGCGAGATTTCATTGTGTTTGAAAACCGTTTCCTTTAAAGTCATATCAAATGTTTAGGTTTATTGATGTTAACAATTGAGTTATTGAGCGTTCCGCGGCGATATTTTTGAAACAGCTAATGCATAGGAGCGTTAATTGGCCGACGTTCTTGTAAAACAGAAAAATTATATAGACACAATAGTTAGTTTTAAGTGTACTGCTTGAGCATGGAAAGTCAATTAATGCAGATACTCAGGATGTTTCTCTATAGGTGTCAATTCTGCTACAAAAATACCGTAAGTATATATACATGAAAAAAAAAATTATTGGAGGCTATTTAATCTGTCATCACTATTAACTTCTCATTAGTATAGGTATAGGTGTGCTGGGATTGAAATAATATATTTTTATACAGGGTTATTTTGCTACTATCGGTCAAATTTGCAGAGAAGTTTCACGATTAGTAATATGGGCAAATGGTGAAGAAAAATTTATTAAAAGAAATGTCAAACATTCTGTCCTTTTTATCTTTTAAATTTAAAATATGTGATAATGCATTATTTTAACTGATTATCATTCATAAATATTTAGGGCCAACTATTTTACATGGGTCGATCGATTGGTGAAAACGTTGTGAATTGAATCGCACACATAGGAGCGCGCGTACACGTTGATGTTGCCCATAAATCACATTCAATTTTGGCATAATTTCAAATAAAAGTTGAAGCATTATTTACTCATATTTTCAAAACATGCAATAATAGTATACCTATCATTATTTTTTACCATACGTATACAAGACGAAGAGAAATCTATGTATTTACAGATAGCAAGAAGAATGTCATGATCGAGTGTACAGAAAGCATTATTGAAATCAATTAATACGATGCTAATTTTGACTCTTCCATACACTCTCTTTCATCATTGAGAACTTTAAGGATAGCTGTGGTTCTATCATGTCCAGGACGAAAACCAGAACCAGGGCCTAAGAAGTTTATTTTTATATACTCCTTTGTAGCTGGATAGCTGTTTGTGTTTATTATCCTCTATTTTCGCACTCTTAGGATGTAGTTATATCTTCAAATTTTATGAGACCATTCCTGAAGTATATTTTTATATTTAATATAATCGGCCAATTCCGAGTCGGACTCACGCATGAAGGGTTCCGTACCATCGTAATACAAGTTTCTAGGTGGGGATCCCCTTTATTTTTTACTTTATTTTAATTTTTATTATTTGTTTTTATATCGGCAACAGAATTATATATTCTGTTAAAATTTCAACTATCCTATTATTAACAAACCTATTACGGATCATGAGACCGCTGACAGGCAGATGAACGGACGGACAGACCGACGGACGGAGAGCGGAGGCTTAGTAATAGGTTAGTAGTTGGTTACCTTTTGGATACCGAAAAACCCGTAAAATCGGAACCCTAAAAAAGGAATCATTTAAATTGAACGAATAAATGAACGACAACGCAGATATCGCGTATTATCATGCAAGAAAACATACAGTCGAATTGTGAGCCTTTTTTAAAGTCGGCTAAACATAAGCCATGCTGCAGCTATATTATGATTGTAGCATGAATAGGTCGGTTCGACCGGGGAGGCACCACGCTCTCATAGAATACCAGTGTAAAATAGCTGAATGCTGCTGTTTCATATGGTGAGTGTAAATAACTAGATACCCTTTTTACTGGATACGAGGCATTTTAGTACTCAGAGGTGACAACAGATAGATGTACAAGTAGATGTCTATGGGCCACAGCAACTTACCATCAGGTGGGCTGTGTACTCGCTTGTCACTCTTATGCCATAAAAAAACTTTATTGCAATAATATGTTGTTAGCTCATTAAGTAAAACGTTCGTCAGAATAAGCTTTAATAGCTTTATATTCCGCTGAGTTAAACGGTACACGCAGCGGGCTTCATAGCGAGCGGCTGTCGCTCTCGCCGCGAAACCCCAGGTTAATGCAGCGCCGCAAGTATCTCGATCGTGCGTGTGTACAGTCACGCGTTCAGCTTGATTCCGATAACCCAGATGTGATGAGTCACTGTCCCGTCACACACTAATACTACCCACTCATCTAGTGTCACCAACCCAGATAATATAGGACAACGAAAGTTGACTGTCTGCGGGCGTACCGGATACCCTTCCACACCACTCACATTGACGTGATAATTTTCCTCTATGCAATCTATTGAGCAAGACGGGCCACCGGCAGACCTGATGGGAGTAGCTATACGCCGGTGTTCCCTCTGTCAAAGTATAAATCCACGCATTTCTATGCGTACAATTAAACTAGTTGCAGCCGAACTGCTCACTAGACTAAATCTGGTTGCGCGGCTGAATCGACGTCGAATTGTTCAGTTTTTCGCTGCAAAAAGAAATCTTTCACGTCAAATCTTCAAAAAGAGGACGTTACATTTTTATAAGTAATTTTTTATCACATTATTGCAATTTACTTCTTTTCAAACTTAAAATATTACAATAATAACGGTCGTGTTGTTTCGGATTAGTATACCAACACAGGCCGTTCGCTCTCATATGATATGTAGATTGGTCAAGCGACTGATTCTAGTCTGTATCCGAGTTATCGCTGTCATCGAGAAATACTGTTATAATGTTTCTTGTGTGTGTGTGAAATTGTTAGTTCTTGTTTTAATTGTTGTATGAGTTTTGTTGTAATAGACCATTGGTTGTTGTGTTGACGCAAAAAATGTCAGGCATTTCTGTATCGGGAAAAAACGCTATGGATATCCCGGGTAGCGATAAACAAACACGAGTACTGGTATCCCACGCGCGTGTACTACTCAAACTTTTGGTTTACAATATGTTGTGATATTTTTATTATTGAATTTATCAGGCAAGACAGAGAGGGATCTCAAAAGAATAGACAAACAAACAATCACACATACAAAGTATACTATGACTACAAACATATGTTTTGTAGTCATAGTGACGTGGATTGTTCTATAGTACAGCAATTAAAAACTACTCTACGTCATATCGTATAATTAAAACAACATTAATTGTATGAAAAAATAATTTAATAAATAAAATAACTTAGTCACAAAATAAATTATTAATGCTAATATACCAATAAATAAATAAATAGATTATTTCAATATCATAATTTGGAATGTTTCAAATTAAATAACTTATATTCTATTACTCTATGTTTTTGAGCAAAACGAAGTCTTTGCGTTTTTAGATGAAAAATGTAAAGTTTCTAAGTCCTAGTGACTGAATGGCTTTAAATTTAAACTTAAAATAACCTTCAGCTGCAACAGGGTTGTTCAATAAATATTCTCATATTGCAGCTATGTTTCTTTTTACATAAAATGTTATAAGTGGGGTACAAAATACCTACATAGTTTGTTCGCATAGATATGGTCGCTTCTGTGTCGCGCCGTCTCGGCACGTGCCGCATCTTGTCAAAGGCGCAACCGCGACATAAAAAGTCGTACACCCGCAGGAGAATTTGGCATTTAAAAACGAAGCGCCGTAGTGAAAAGTTCTTTGCAACCTAACTTGTGTTTATTGTTTATATTTGAATTTTATTACAATTACCATAAGAATAAAATAGAATACTATTCTTAGAATTATTTATTGAACAAACACAGTAAAAATAATAAAATAAAAGCAAAATAATAAGTGCGTTTCTGGGTGTACCAACCCTATCTTAGCAAACAGACTATAATAATGTACACTACACAGCGCAAATATTTATACATCGCACTTATCTCCCTCACTTTAAATAAATCAGATAAATGTCTTTATTATTATTAAAATTATACGAAATTTCAGTATAAATGCGACGTAACCTAACATAAATTTTCATTAAAAATCCCAAACTTAAAAGAAAACTTGACAAAATGAAGGAAACATCTCTTTAATTAACCATATGAAATAGGTTTTTATTTTATTTTAGGCACAGTAAAAAATAAACACACTTTGCGACATTTAAAAACTTTCCAAACGCCATCTGTCTTTTTTCAATGGCAATTTGAGCTAAGGATAAGTAAACACACCAAGAGATGGCGTTAGGACAGCATGATATTATACATTACAAAACGTATGAGGCTTTAGTTTTATTTTAATAATAACACCTTCCACGCAACTGCGTTTATTTTTGCTAACACCTTCAACTAACTTATTTACCAACAAAGTTGACCGACTTTTGTTAGTAATTAAATAAAAAAAAATGAGTTTCATCAATTTAGCAAAGCATCTCGCTTATTTTTCGGAGACTCTTTGCTTTTATTGATATTAATAAAAACATACTTCATGTTAGCTACTAACTTGTTTGGCTGTAGCTGTCTCTTATAAATTCTTAATTATAAATTATTAAAATTATTATTAAAAGAATTAGTATCAGTTAATATTTTTACATTAAATCATTAAAGGTTATTCAAATAATTGTTTAATTGAATTAGATTCCCAAAACTTTAAAAAAAACATTGTATTTGATTTATTTTATATATATGTATTTGTCATTTTTAAAATGTTAATTAGATAAAACAACCTGATTTTTTAAATGATTTACATACTTGCTTTGATTTATTGTACTATTGATATTTATTTACATTTATACCATCTGACTTTTATACCATGAGGAAAATTAACGTTTAATCGGAGAACTGAGAATATTTTGAAATTTTTAAAATTTTAAATTGTTTTACTTAAGCCGGTATCCAAAACAAAATCTTAAACTTAAACTTAAATATTACCGAATTTGAGATTCAGCTCGAGATTGTCTTAGAATACGGGCTTTAGAGTTACTAATATTCATTAAATCTTAAAAAAATAACAGTGTCACATCATAAGTTATTCAACTTATCTGTTATTTTTTTTTAAATATTTTAACAATTCGTGAGCATCGCGAAATTGGCGTACATTATATACATAAACTGGCAGAATTATCTCATTAGTAGTATTATGTTATATGTACACAATTTATATATAATATTATGCATGTATTAAATAATTTATGATATACAAAATTATGTATGGGCATATGTATTATTTTGTTTTAAATTTATATACTTTAATTTACATTTCACACATCTACTTTATATTTTTTTTATCTCTTCATCACGCAAAGGTTGACTGGTAGAGAATGCCTCTGGAATTAATTCCGACTACGCCTATACAAAATGTTGTATAAGTTTAATAAAAAAAAATTATTAAAAAATAATTTAACATTGCTAGGATTATTTTTAATTATAATTTATATTGCAATGAGGATATATAGCAACGCAATCCTTTTCTTCTTGCCCGTCTCTAGCTGCTTGAACATATCTATAGTATCTGAGCGCCTTCTTGCTGTCAGCAGGCGGCACTAGCTCACTGGAATCTCTGAAAGACAAAACCATTACCAAAGTTACATAGATGAAGATGAATTTGTCAAATATACCTTATAATAGTATATTTTCGTTAATGCACAGGATTTATAAAATCGTTTGATCATCATCATCATTACCAATGACATGTGTTCAGCAGTGGACTTGTTAATGGCTTTACTTTTCTTTACATGGTGTACTTAAAAAAGATTAAAGGTAACAAACGAGCTCACAGTCCACATGATGGTAAGTGGATGCTGCAGCCCATAAACATCAACATTTATCCTCAACTAAGAATGAAAATGCAGATGCATTATCACCCTAGAGGACTAAGATGGAATGCCTCGTTCAGTAAAAAGGGTATCCGGTTATCTACACTTACCATACGGAACACAGGAACACTAAGCTATTTTACGCTGGTATCCCGTGAGAGCGTGATCCTTACCCGGTTGAGCTAACCCATTGGACTACAACCATAATACTGCAGCGTGGTTCTACCACGTACAAAACATCGCAAACCTATATACCTTAGTAATAGTTAATATTGTCTAACATTACTAAATAATAACAATATACAAACTGAGACTATAATATGGACGAAATTATCAAGTTCCCCTTTCAAATTGATTAAAAAATTGTAAACAAGTAAAAAGAGAAAGCAAAGAATATTTACAAAGAAATAACGTTCATCAAGTAAGGTATGTTTTAACTACTGGGTACACAATAAAAGGTGCAAAATGAAAGTGAACGCTCGGGTCATTGGAACATTTCTACCGGACTCATCTCATTACGGACGCTTTCCATTTTCTTGTGAATTGAATGTAATCATTTCCATCTTCATTTGATCTGATTATGCAATGAGCCGTGGTAGCTCAGATGGTCAGCGCGCGCTGGAAACTTCACAGTACGCGAGCAACCCGGGTTCAATCCCCGCCGGCACCAATGAAATTGTTAATTGCAATTTTAAGTTCTGATTAACCACGTGCTCGGCAGTGAAGGAAAACATCGTGAGAAAACCTGCTTGTCTGAGAAATAAGAAGACAATATTTCAAAGACATGTGAAGTTCGCCAACACGCACTGGGGCAGCGCGGCGGACATTACCTTGCCCTAAAACCCTCTCAAAAATTAGAGGAGGCCTGTGCCCAACAGTGGGACGTAAATAGGCTGGAACTTTACTTTTTACTTTTATACAAAGAATGAATAAATATGATATGAATTACCGAGGAAAAAGTGACAAAGCAAATATATGCTGCAGACGTGAACGGCAGAGTCGGGAAGGGACGCCCTAGGCGAAAGTTTATCAACCAAATTGGCGATATCATATTAAAAATCGGCCTGATTAAGAGTGCCCACAAGCGGAGAGCATATATGCGTAAGTATACGGATGTAAAGGAGGCCAGGGAGGTGTGTCAGAATCGTGCCAAACGAAAGCTCATAGTCTCTGCGTACCCGTCTGGATGAGAGACGTGAGTATGTATGAATGTATGTATGAAAAGATATTTTGTGATATCTCAAATTTACTGACACGATATTTACTTAAGTATTTTCAAATAAGTAAAATAACCTTTAAAATTTTGAAATTTTTCGCAACGGTGAAGTCATGGAACACTTCAGCATAAGTGTTCTATGACTTCAAGTGCAATGAACTCTTCTTTGCTCTAAAACCCTTTTAGAAATAAAGTAGATCTTTATCCAAAAGTATCATGTACATCATACATTAATTTGTACATATTTTATAATTTAATATTCACGAACATAATAATACTTAGAATGTGCTGACAAACAATATTAAAGTGTATAAAGAAATGCTCTCATATCCATAGATACAACTGAAATTACTGATGTATAAACTCCATATAAAGTAAAAGTATTAGACGCACATTTTCTAATAATTTGCCAAAATAATACAATAGCATTTGTGAGACATCATTACATTTCCATTCCATAAAGTTTGTCAAAGATAGTAGCAATTTAAGGTCAAACACTGTAACGGACTAGTTACTGTGACAAAGTGAAATAAGATTTGAGACGAACCTGACGTTAATATTAAGTGTAATATAACGGTATAAAATTTGGCTTTACATGATATTAGAACAAAGTGCACAGTATCATTTAATGAAAGAAATTTGAGAAGTAATTTTACCGAAACCAATACTTAGTTATTAAGACCGATTTTTACGACACTGCAGCATGGTCTTTGCGGAAAGCTCAAAGTGAGTGAGAGCAAAACTCAATGAGGTTATAAATGGCGTTTTCTTTCGAGTGAGACTTTGTATGAAAAGGCAATAAGAACATTTTTGCAGTAGAGCTAGAGTGACCAACACAGCTCAACAGATCAGGTAAAGAGGCAATAGCCAACTACAAAATTCATGCAATGCACGTTCGGGGCAGTCTCAAAATAATTTGTTTCTAAACAAATATTTTATAGCAATTTGATACTTACTTGCTAAGCTCATTAGAGACTAGATTACTGTACGGTGAATGCTTGAAAGGATCTTTGTACAGCGCGCATACAGCTCGTTCCCTACATCCAATATCTGACGCCCCTATTGGAATCAATATTGTATCCACTTTCTCTAATAGAGCACCGTAGAATTTCTCCGCAGCTATAGTATCCTAAAAAAGAATTAGTAAAGTTAATATGTATTGTGTAGTACCAATGTAAAAATATCCACTACCCCATATCATCCCGTGGGTGTCGTAAGAGGCGACAGAGGGAAACAAATAAGGCAATCGGCAGCAGCGTCCTCCTAATATCGACTAAAGATAAAAAACTGTGGTTGCCAACCCGTTTGCCAAGCGTGGTAACTATGGAAAATATTCCCCCTATGAGGTAATGTATGGGGGAGGGGGGGGGCTAATGTGCAGCAGTGGACTTTAATAGGCTGTAATGAATGGATGTATAAAAGATAATCTACCAGGAGCACATGATTCACTGAGAGGTGATTTTATTAAATCAACAGTAACATTACAACTATGACAAAATATCCTCTATGAGGAAATCTATGGGGGAGGCCTATGTCCTGCAGTGGAATTTAATAAGCTGTAATGGCCATCCACATGTACTCCTGGTAGATTATCTTCTATACATCCATATATGTAGAAGATAATCTACCAGGAGCACATGACCCACTGAGAGGTGAAATTATTAAATCAACAGGAACATTACAACTACGACAAAATATCCTCTATGAGGTAATATATGGGGGCGGGCATATGTTCAGCAGTGGACTTTAATAGGCTGTAATGGATGGATGTATAGAAGATAATCTGCCAGGAGCACATGACCCACCGAGAGGTGAAATTATTAAATCAACAGTAACATTACAACTACGACAAAATATCCTCTATGAGGTAATATATGGGGGCGGGCATATATATGTTCAGCAGTGGACTTTAATAGGCTGTAATGGATGGATGTATAGAAGATAATCTACCAGGAGCACATGACCCACCGAGAGGTGAAATTATTAAATCAACAGTAACATTACAACTACGACAAAATATCCTCTATGAGGTAATATGGGGGCGGGCATATGTTCAGCAGTGGACTTTAATAGGCTGTAATGGATGGATGTATAGAAGATAATCTGCCAGGAGCACATGACCCACCGAGAGGTGAAATTATTAAATCAACAGTAACATTACAACAAAATATCCTCTATGAGGTAATATATGGGGGCGCGCATATGTTCAGCAGTGGACTTTAATAGGCTGTAATGGATGGATGTATAGAAGATAATCTACCAGGAGCACATGACCCACCGAGAGGTGAAATTATTAAATCAACAGTAACATTACAACTACGACAAAATATCCTCTATGAGGTAATATATGGGGGCGGGCATATGTTCAGCAGTGGACTTTAATAGACTGTAGCGCTAACGGTAAAGTTAATATTATATCAGTGTGTGTTATACTTTTCGTATACTTGCGCCACAAGCAGAAAAAATTTTGATCATTAACATACTTGTTCTGTGAATGAGATAGATCGACTGTCTTAACATCATATTTTGTCGCTCAAATAGTATCATTACTTATTTCATTGTATGGCAGTTTACTATGTTAGAAAAAGAGCATTCGTCTTCGTTGAATGAAACGCTTTTATAGTTATGTTATATTATGTTACGAGCTGTTCCCCGCGACTTCTCGCGTTTTAATTTTTAGCGCGGAACCCTAATTCCTTTTCTAAAATAAAAGTAGCCTAAGTTACTCCTTATAATACAAGCTATCTGCCAGTGAAAGTCCCGTTAAAATTGGTCTAGCCAATTCGGAGATTAGCCGGAACAAACAGACAGACAGACAGACAGACAGGCGGACAGACAAAAATTTAAAAAATGTGTTTTTGTTTTAAGTACCGTATACAGTTTCATATATATTTAGTAAAAAGCTGTTATTTTGATATTACAACCAGACACTTCAATTTTATTTATTTGTATAGATTACGTTATATGATTCGGTTATAATTATGTTTGCTTTCAATTTTTTATTCTACTGTACCGTAAGAGGCGATAGAAGGAAATGAAAATGGAGATGGGCAGCAGCATCTTTCTCATAATAATTCAAAATAAAAAACTGCGGTTGTCAACCCGCCTACCTAGCGCAGCAACTATGGAAAATATCCCAATAGATTTTGTTAAGTTGTAATGAATGAAATGAATATACTACAGCTCAATACGTCGCTAACGCCGCAAAGGGGCGAACATCAATTTTTCAAAAAATTACAGGAGAGCGTGAAAAAATTTATTATTCCCCGATTAATAGCTTTTTTCATCAGAAAATTAATCTTATTTGTAATTTTCCATTAAGTCTAATATATTTAATTTTCTGATAAAAAAAAGCTAGTAATCGGGGAATAATAAATTTTTTCATGCTCTCCTGTAATTTTTTGAAAAATTGATGTTCGCCCCTTTGCGGCGTTAGCGACGAATTATAAGAATTGCATTGGCTTGCAGCATCTTTTACTTTTTATAAATTAATATACATCATTGTCTCATCTATTTAGAAATAAAATTTAAGAAAAACTAAATCTTTTTAAATAACTCTTTAAGACTTCACGTCACCTGTACTGCCAGTCCACCGTGAACTAGGAGCCACTAATTAAAGAAAATAAAGCCAACTTGCACTTTCTTGAAAATGCCTACGACCGGCGCAGCGGTAGATTTTAATAGGCTGAAGAATAGCTAAAGAGTAAGTAAATTAAAAACGGGGTAAGAAAAGTAATAAAAAAAGATAATTAGGTACATTTTACTCGTAACCTACGGTAAAGACATCTCTAGTATTAACTTAACAAACACGATTTAGTCTGTTGACAATTTGGAATATAAACAATGGCTATGTTCTTTCATTATTAAAATCTATCTAAACTATATATTATTATAAATTATATTTTTGGTTTTTTTTTGTAGGATAGGATGACAAACGAGCACACAGTCCACCTGATGGTAAGTGGTTGCTGCGGCCCATAATACATTTATCCTCAATAATGATTCAAAATGCACGTCACCCGTGAGGACTAAGATGGAATGCCTCTTTTCCAGTAAAATGGGTCTCCGGTTCTCTACACTCACCATACAAGTGAGTGTCAAGCTGACATTTTACAATGGTATTCTGTGAGAGCGTCGACCCTCCCCGGTCGAGCTGATCCATTCGTGCAACAACTACACTACTGAGTGTCAAGCTGACATTTTACACTGGTATTATATGAGAGCGAGATCCCTCCCCGGTCGAGCCGACCCATTCGTGCTACAACTATACTACATATATAGCTGCAGCATGGCTCTACCACGTACGAAAGTGTGGAGTCACTTACAGGATCTTGCGCTGCGAGGATTTGCTGCTGTTGCCTCACTAATTCCGTTTCTGCTTTAACTCTATTGGTTTCGGTCAGTTTAGCTTGTGATACTCTTAATATCTCATCTCTGACAGGTGATGCAGGCGCTCGGGCTGCCAGGGATGCTGCGCGGATCTGAAAAATAATTATAGAGCATTGATAGCGAAATATGATCAGTAGTTATCATGTATATAAACTCTAACAGTTAAAAAAACAGTCTGTGAATTGCTAGGTATACAGGATATTATATTCCTTCTCAGTTCGTGTTGAAGGACTTCACATGACCTAAAAATGTTTTTTTTTTATATTTCTTTATCAAGCAAGTTTCCTCTCGATGTTTTCCTTCAACGTCGAGAATGTGAAAAATTTAGCCTTTTTCAATGTTTTGTTGTTTTTGTAATTATTGTTAAAGGAAATAATTTTAGGATGCTTAAGTAATCACAGAAAAACGCCACGCACTAAAAATGTCAAAACTTTTTTTTTATTTAATTTGTTTTTGATTTAACAAAATATTTTAAATAATAACATAATTGTTTGCGGTTATATATTGAAAAATTTATTATATTTTAATTCTCATGTTAAACGGCACAGAAATCGATAATTGCAAGAAAGTTAGTTAAATATAGAAAATAGTAGAAATTACCGCTTAAACTAAACACGTTCCAAACGTTACGTGTAGGTAATCATCGAGAAAAATTATCTAATTTTATATCATTTTAATAAGTACATATTATAAACTGCAATCGGTATCAAGCCAGTTGCGTGTTTAGAAAGATAATAAGACAATTGTTAAGCTGTGGGCCAGGTGCACACGCATTCCCCCGCAGGCTTTTTTCAATTTTAAATGAATCAACGTCTGGCTACAATTTTCACATAATTGTGTCGAAGAACGCACGGTGACTCGTAAATTTAGCATTTTTGTGGGTTCGTTCTATAATAATCAATGTTAACATACAACCTGAAAAATTGTTCGAAACGCTGCATAACGAGAAATTAGTTTAACGATTACATTCAAATAATTAAAATTAGTTTTTTTTTCTTATTCATTACTAGTACTATTGCAAATTTGCCATTTTCAAGTAATAAGAAATTATTCTATATAATAATTTGTCTGAAAGAAGATGTAGTGACAAAAATTGAGAAAGGTGTTGTATAATGAATGAAGAACGATTGACCGAAAAAGTGTATAAGGCGAGTGTGAATGAAAGTGTTGGAAGAGACCTAGGCGGACGTTTCTAGACCAAATCAGGGACGTCTTGAAAAAAAGGCCAGGTCAAGAGTACCCTAAACCGAAGAGCATGTACTCGTATGAAGGGAATAATGAAAGTAGACGAAGCGAAACAAGTATGTAAGGATGGTAACAAGTGGAAAGAAGTGATCTCTGCCTACCCCTACGGGAAAGAGGCGTGATTATGTAACAATTTGTTTAAAATTCTTCAAAATATGTTAAATATTTCAAATACACGTGATGTTCGCCAACACGCACTGGGTCAGTGCAGTGGACGTTTTCTTGCCCTAAAACGCTCTCATAAATGAGAGGAGGCCTGTGCCTAGTAGTGGTTCTTGTATAGGCTGTAACTTTTTATAGTAACTTTACATAGTTGCCACGCTTGGCAAGCGGGTTGGCAGACGCAGTTTTTTATTTTTAGTCGACATTAGAAAGCCGCTGCTGCCCATCTCCCGATTCGTTTCCCTCTGTAACCTCTTACGACACCCACGTGATGAAATTGGGTAGAAAATATTCTTACACCGCCACTACACGGCTTGAAGCACTTTCATATCTTATATTTTTGGAGGGGTCTTTAAAGTATTTTCTTTTAAGATAATAAAATCGGGCTTTACGTTGCGAAAATCAATTATGTTAAATACGAGTATATTAAAATTATTTAACTGAATCTTAGCTGATTTGTTTTACGATCTTCGATCTTTATTTTGATTATGTAACCATGCATTGTCTCAATGAAAACTGGTAGCGATCACCGAATGGTTAGAAGCACACTGAACCTAAACGTTAAGTGAGAGTGGTCTCGTCTAATGAAGTCAACGCTCCGTCCCCCTCGTGCTCTGTTGCAAAGTCCCGAAACCTTTCAGCTCGAGTTACAAAACCGTTTTCAGTGCCTAGAAAACTGCAATGAAATGGACGATATGAATGACAAGCTCGTGGGAACTGTCCGTGCGGTCGGAGCTAAGTTCTGCAAGACCCGCCGCAGAAGAACACAAAAACTCTACCATCACACTCTTAATATCATGGCTGTTAGACGGGAGATGGAGCTACATTCTTCTACAGATTTGACAGCATACAGGCAACTGAACAGACAGATCTCCAAATGCATGCGGCGGGACTTACGCAACTTCCGTACAGCTTGTATTGAAGAAGTGATCGAGCGGAACCAAGGCTCCAAAGTCTTTGCCAGAGATCTGTCTGCCAGAAAGAGCCAACTGTCAAAGCTGAAGACCGAGTGTGGCAGCATCGTTTTCGGGACACCTGAGATTTTGAGTGAGATTGAGAGGTTCTATGGGCTGTACACGTCATCCTTGGAGCCTCACGCAAGTGTGAGTAACGATCCAAGAGCGAGTCTTATCCGACACTATTCCGAAGATATCCCGGACGTCAGTCTGAGCGAGATTAGAATAGCTCTCCAGCCCCTTAAAAACGGAAAGTCCCCGGGTGAGGATGGAATTACAGCGGAGGTTTTTAAAGGGGGTGGAAAAACGGTACTTGAAGTCCTTCAGAAGCTCTTTAATTCCGCCCTCCATGGTGGCACTACGCCGGAGGCGTGGAGCAGATGTGCGGTGGTCTTGTTCTTCAAGAAAGGCGATAACGCTCTCTTGAAGAACTACAGACCGACAGAACCTTCTGAACCGCTGTCTACGAGCTGTTTTCGAGAGTCATTACGAATCGTCTCGCACGCAGAATTGACGACTTCCAGCCTCCCGAACGAGTCGGTTTCCGAAACGAGTTACGTTATATCCCCGAAACTCTTCACCGCTGCATTGGAAGACGTTTTCAAGCTGCTGGACTGGAAAGAATGCGGTATCAATATCAATGGCGAGTACATCACTCATCTTCGATTTGCCGACGATATAGTCCTTATGGCAGAATCGTTGGAAGACCTATGCACTATGCTCAATGACCTGAATAGTGTCTCCCAACGGATAGGTCTTAAAATGAACATGGACAAAACAAAAATCATGTTTAATGTCCATCTCACACCTATGTCGGTAGTTGTTGGGAGCACTAAGCTCGAAGTTGTTGACGAGTATGTTTACCTGGGACAATTAGTCCAACTTCGACCGAGAGGTCAATCAACGGATTCAACTCGGCTGGGCAGCGTTCGGGAAACTACGACACATCTTCTTATTAGATATACCTCAAAACCTCAAAACGAAATTGTACAACCAGTGCGTGTTGCCAGTGATGACTTACGGATCAGAGACGTGGTCCCTTACTGCTGGCCGTATGAGGAAGCTCAAGATCGCTCAGCGAGCTATGGAGAGGGCTATGCTCGGGGTTTCTCTGCATGATAAACTTAGAAATGAGGATATTCGCAGTAGAACCAGAGTGACCGGCATAGCCCAACGGATTAGTAAGCTGAAGTGGCAGTAGGCCGGCCATATAGCTCGAAGAACCGACAACCGATGGGGAAGAAAGGTTCTCGAGTGGCAGCCTCGTACCGGTAGGCGAAGTGTAGGGCGACCCCCCACTAGATGGAGTGACGACCTGGTAAGACATGCTGGAAGTCGATGGATGCAAGTGGCTCAGGACCGTGCTTTGTGGCATTCTTTGGGGGAGGCCTATGTTCAGCAGTGGATTTATGAAAGGCAGTAATGATGATGATGATGAACCATGCATAAAAAAGCTAATAATTATACTTACTAATGCTTCTTTCTCTGGGTCTCTCGCCGTCGCTTTCTTGTTTCTGTAGTAAGGGTTTGGAGGTCCAACCGGCCTTTAAAACAAAAATAAAAATTGAATAAAACTATTTTTACGGATTTTATCGCGTTTAATTTACTTATTTTATATTCCCGACGTTTCGGTTGCTTTCCAGCAACCGTGGTCACGGGGGACTGAGGTGATTGACGTCCCGATGTCAAAGTTAACCCGGAGTACCTTCAGCTTTTTAATTATTAATTTTGGTCCGATCTACGCAGAATGAACTAACTGTGTCTTGAAGTCTTACAGTGGTATGCTTGGGTTTAGTTTTAATTTTATGAATTACAGGATCCCAAGCAGGTGGTAGTACCCAGCCTCCCTCTCTATTGAAATTAGGATGTTTTTTAATTTCAATAGCCTCACGTATCATCCTTGGCAGGAATCGATGTTCTTTCGCGAGGACTTGTAGTTTATCAAATCTAATGTAATGACGGGGGCCGTCTAGGATATGATCACAAACTGCAGACTTCCCGGAACGTTGGTGCTTCACGTCAGCTATGTGTTCTTTTACGCGGGTTTTTATTGATCGTTTTGTTTGCCCTATATATGAGAGACCACACTCACAATCAAGCTTGTATACTCCTGCATCTTGTAGAGGAATATTGCACTTGACGGATGGTAAGAACTGACTAATCTTCTTCGGCGGCTTGAAGAATGTTCTAATAGAAGCTCGCTTCAAGATGTAGCCAATCTTGTCTGTGACACCTCTGACATATGGTAGTACAGCAGGCACACGCTCGACTGTGGCCGGCTTCACTCGGTCACTGTGACGTAGGCGCGGAACCCGAAGCTTGTTGTCGTGCAGAACCTGCTTGACGTGCTGAAGCTCGGCGGCCAGGTGTTTGCTGTCACAGATCCCTCGTGCTCTCTGCAACAAAGATTTGCCCACGGTAGCTAACTGTGAAGGGTGATGGTGGGATTCACCGTTTAAGTATCGGTTTGTATGGGTCTTTTTTCTATACACAGTGTGACCTACGGTGTTATTAGGATTTCGAATGACTAACACATCTAGGAAAGCTAAAGAATTATTTGCCTCTAACTCCATAGTAAATTGAATTTTAGAGTTTATGGAATTAAGATGTTCTAAAAATGCAGTTACTTTGTCTGATGGTAAAATTGTGAAAGTATCGTCTACGTACCGCTTGTAGAAACTTGGAGTTACTGGTGCAGTAAGCAGGGCTTTCTCCTCAAAGTCCTCCATGAAAATATCGGCGACAATGGGAGATACCGGTGAGCCCATCGCAACACCATCTACTTGCTTGTAAAACTGTTCCTTCCACAATAGGTAGCCAGATGTAAGGCAATGTCTGAGTAATACTGCATATTCTGCTGGCATGTTGTTTTCCTCTAGTTTCCTAGTTATAATTGAGATGCAGTCTTCAACAGGTAGGCATGTAAATAGAGACTGAACATCAAAACTGACCATAGTTTCATTGTCAGTAAGACATAGGTCTTTTATCTCACTGACAAAATGGTATGAATCCTTAGTGTGTGCTCTTGTATGTCCTCTGAGTGGTGATAGTACTTTTGCTAAGTGTTGAGCCAATCTGTAAGTTGGCGAATCGATCTGACTCACTATTGGACGTAATGGAGCGTTCGGTTTGTGTATTTTTGGTAACCCATACAACTTCGGCGGTTTGGCACACGTATGGGTATTTTTGGTAACCCATACGAAGTTGTATGGGTTACCAAAAATACACAAACCGAACGCTCCATTACGTCCAATAGTGAGTCAGATCGATTCGCCAACTTACAGATTGGCTCAACACTTAGCAAAAGTACTATCACCACTCAGAGGACATACAAGAGCACACACTAAGGATTCATACCATTTTGTCAGTGAGATAAAAGACCTATGTCTTACTGACAATGAAACTATGGTCAGCTTTGATGTTCAGTCTCTATTTACATGCCTACCTGTTGAAGACTGCATCTCAATTATAACTAGGAAACTAGAGGAAAACAACATGCCAGCAGAATATGCAGTATTACTCAGACATTGCCTTACATCTGGCTACCTATTGTGGAAGGAACAGTTTTACAAGCAAGTAGATGGTGTTGCGATGGGCTCACCGGTATCTCCCATTGTCGCCGATATTTTCATGGAGGACTTTGAGGAGAAAGCCCTGCTTACTGCACCAGTAACTCCAAGTTTCTACAAGCGGTACGTAGACGATACTTTCACAATTTTACCATCAGACAAAGTAACTGCATTTTTAGAACATCTTAATTCCATAAACTCTAAAATTCAATTTACTATGGAGTTAGAGGCAAATAATTCTTTAGCTTTCCTAGATGTGTTAGTCATTCGAAATCCTAATAACACCGTAGGTCACACTGTGTATAGAAAAAAGACCCATACAAACCGATACTTAAACGGTGAATCCCACCATCACCCTTCACAGTTAGCTACCGTGGGCAAATCTTTGTTGCAGAGAGCACGAGGGATCTGTGACAGCAAACACCTGGCCGCCGAGCTTCAGCACGTCAAGCAGGTTCTGCACGACAACAAGCTTCGGGTTCCGCGCCTACGTCACAGTGACCGAGTGAAGCCGGCCACAGTCGAGCGTGTGCCTGCTGTACTACCATATGTCAGAGGTGTCACAGACAAGATTGGCTACATCTTGAAGCGAGCTTCTATTAGAACATTCTTCAAGCCGCCGAAGAAGATTAGTCAGTTCTTACCATCCGTCAAGTGCAATATTCCTCTACAAGATGCAGGAGTATACAAGCTTGATTGTGAGTGTGGTCTCTCATATATAGGGCAAACAAAACGATCAATAAAAACCCGCGTAAAAGAACACATAGCTGACGTGAAGCACCAACGTTCCGGGAAGTCTGCAGTTTGTGATCATATCCTAGACGGCCCCCGTCATTACATTAGATTTGATAAACTACAAGTCCTCGCGAAAGAACATCGATTCCTGCCAAGGATGATACGTGAGGCTATTGAAATTAAAAAACATCCTAATTTCAATAGAGAGGGAGGCTGGGTACTACCACCTGCTTGGGATCCTGTAATTCATAAAATTAAAACTAAACCCAAGCATACCACTGTAAGACTTCAAGACACAGTTAGTTCATTCTGCGTAGATCGGACCAAAATTAATAATTAAAAAGCTGAAGGTACTCCGGGTTAACTTTGACATCGGGACGTCAATCACCTCAGTCCCCCGTGACCACGGTTGCTGGAAAGCAACCGAAACGTCGGGAATATAAAATAAGTAAATTAAACGCGATAAAATCCGTAAAAATAGTTTTATTCAATGTGTAGTGTTCGCGTAAATATAAGAAATCAAAAATAAAAATTCTTAAGAACGGATCCTTCATTTTAATGATTAATTCCATAATAATTGGTAACATAAAATTATAAAGTTACGTAATGTCGATAGTTTACATCCTACAAGTACACAGTACAATCACATTTGAGTCAGTTATTGAGATTTTCCATCAAAAAATTTTCAGTAGCTGCCCGGAGTCAGGAAGTTGGCAGTATCCCACCCACGGGACTGAAAGAACCTAATGTTGTTGGTCATGCGCCTGAACTCTCCCCGGTCGTGTCGATTTACCTTCCCATCGGACTATGAGAGTGAGGGAATAGAGAGTGCACCTGTGCTTGCGCATACACTTGGGCACTATAATCCTGTCCTGTGCCGATGGCTAGTCTTCTTTGAGACTGGCCGCCGTGACCGAAATTCGGTTTGGAGGTAATTATAATCCCATTAAAATTAGAAAGAACTAGCCGTTATCTAAAAGTAAAGAAAAATAGCCAGCCACTACTAGGAACATGTCTCCTCTCACTTCTGAGGCAAGCCGACATATCGAATAATGTGCAGTTTCGTGGTCACTTGGAAGGGAAGGCCAAATTGGCCTCTAAAAAGCTTGGCGTGCTCAGCAGAGCGAGACAGTGTTTCATGCCGGCACATCGCTTGTAACTTTACAAAGCGCAAGTTCGGCCCCACATGGAATACTGTACTCATCTCTGGGTCGGGGCACCCCAGTGCCAGCTCCTTCCACTTGACCGCATCCAGCGCAGATCGATTCGAATCGTCGACGACCGAGTTCTTTCTGATCGGCTCGATACACTGGCACTGCGTAGAGATGTTGCATCTCTTTGCGTATTTCATTGCATCTATCACGGAGAGTGCTCTGAGGAATTGTTCGGACTAATTCCAGCCGCTCAATTTCACCATCGCACATCGCGACAAAACTCGCGTTACCATCCATACCATCTTGATGATTGGCGGTCCACCACTGTGCGATTTAGAATAAGTTTTCTCCCTCGCACAACTTCCTTGTGGAATCAATTAGCACCAGCGAATTTTCCGGACCGATACGACTTAGGAACCTTCAAGAAAAGAGCTTACACTTTTCTAAAAGGCCCGCAACGCATCTGGAATTCCACTGGTGTTGCGTTTGTTCATGGGTGGCGGTAGTCACTTACCATCAGGTGAGCTGCATGCTCGTTTGCCCCCTCTTCTATAAAAAAAAGGCAAAAAATATTCCATCGTGCTACTCGCATGCATCTTCGCATAGCTGTAGCATATTCTTGCAGGTTCCTTACGATGTTTTTAAACAATAGAAAAATATATTGTTTACAAATTTTCCTACTAAGTTAATGATGGCTTGAAATCGATTCTTACATCGTTATTTTGAAACACCGATTTGATTTCTATTATACAATTGCCGCCAATTTTACCCTGCACAAATAAATTAATAGTTTACGTTTATTATCAAACTGTACTTATTCGAAATAGAGTTAAACTAGCTTTATATTTATAATACAGCAAATGAGTAGACCAAATTCTATTTTAATGGGATGGTTATGTATATGTATATATAATTTATTGTTTAATTATATACAATATTAAAAACTATAATAATAAAAAAAAATTTAGAAACTTTACTATCATATTATAGTCCTACTCCCCGCGGTATCGTTCCAAGAACGCTGGCTGCGTTTCCCCGCTGAATGGCTATACTTAGCCTTTGAGCGAGAAAAGAACTAGCACTCTTACCACCATTTTAATTGTATTGGAAATACTCTCGTCCGATGTTATCACATTGGTGCTTCTCTATAGAATAGGCTACACATAGTAATACTTACAGTACATCATTGCGTTAAAGCCGGATGCATAAGTAAGAAAAAAGAAAACATATCATTATTTCGCTGCGTACACACTTTCAAATTTAATTGGGTGATTTAAGTGCTAATTAAGATGTAATTCAGTTGATCTAATAAGATAAATTTGAAGGTGATTAATCAAAACTATGAAGTATGTTTATTTATTCTTAAAGCCCTCATAGGCGTGCAATTTCTAGCTGCAATTATATAAATACGGCTGTATAGCCGCCAAGTTGTAGATCGCGCAACCCAGAGTAATGTTCCTTAGCCTCAAGCTTCAATGTTGTTTTACGCTTATGAACTAATTACTCTGTGATACAGTTACATTTTTATAGAGTATGAGTGAAAAATACGCACACATTCCACCTGATAGTAAGTAGATGCTGAAGCTCCTACACATCTATCCTCGATTAAGAATCAAAATGCACATGTGTTGTCTGCCCTGAGGACTAAGATGGAATGCCTCGTTTCTACACTCACCATACGAAAAACAGCAGAATTAATCTTCTATTTTACGCTGGTATTTTGTGAGAGCGTGGTCCTTCCCCGGTCGATACGACGCATTAGTGCAACAACCATAATATAGCTGAAGCGTGGCTATATCACGGAAAAGCAACATTGACTGAATATATTGTACAATTAAATTGTAGCAAAAATATTATACTCATAAACGGGATATGAAGAAGGTCTATATATAAGCAACATTGCTTAAATATATTTTTTTCATGTCCCGTTTATGAGGCATTTTATAACTACCACAAAATAGGACAGATTCCATACTCCACACGACATATATTTATTAAAATGTTTTGCGTGAATAAAACAATTTAATAAATAAACTTTAACGATACTAAAACTTTGTCAGTTCCTCCAATTTTAAAATATGTAGCCAGTTTATTTCACATTATTTTTATTAGTGCCTATAATTATTCACCATCTTTTAATTACATTGTGTCATCGTGCTAAACAATGAACAATTATTTTGCACGCAATGTTTTAAGTTACGCATACACTAGGTTGATTTGGTGGTAACAGACGTATAGTATTAAGGTTTAATTACATTAGACATAGATAAATAAAACTAGTTTACGGATTATATCACGTATATTAACTTCATTTACATTCCCGACGATGATATTACTTATATAGGACAAATTAAAAGATCAATAAAAACCCGCGTAGGAGAACACATAGCTCATGTGAAGAATCGACGCTCCGGGAAGTCTGCAGTCTGTGAAGGCGTATAGGATCACCCCCGTCACTACATTAGATTTGATAGACAAGAAATCCTCGCTAAAGAACATCGATTTCTTCCAAGGATGATTCGCGAGGCTATTGAAAACAAAAAAAAAACATCCTAATTTCAATAGAGAAGATGGCTAGATGCTACGATCTGCTTGGGATTCTATAAATAATAAAATTAAATCCCAACCCAAGCATACAACAGCAAAACTTCAAGATACTGTAAGTTCATACTGCATAGATCGGAACGAAAATTAATTTTTTTTAATCTGGAGGTAGCCGTAGTTAACTATGACACTGGGACGTCAAACACCTCAGTCCCTCCCGTGACTATGGGTGCTGTAAAGTACTCGAAAAGTCGGCAATATAAAATAAGTTAATTTACGCGATAAAATCCGTAAAATTAGTTTCATTTAAATGTGTAGTGTTCGCAAATCTTTGCATCATACATAGGTTTCCTATCCAATCTAATACAGCCTATGAACAAATCAGGAGATGGGCAACAGCATCTTCCTAGTAACGACTAAAAATAAAAATAAAACTGTCGTTGCCAAACCGCTTGCCAAGCGTGGCAACTACGGCAAATATCCCCCCTATGAGGGAGATCTATGGGGGAGGCCTATGTTCAGCAATGAACTTTAATAGGCTGAAACGGTTCATAAGTTGAAAATTACCTTCCCGCGCTGCCAGCTGGTAGTTGATGTACAGGGTTAGGCGCGGACATCACGTTAGGCACGATATTGTTACTGCTTGCATATTCACCGACGTTTAACGATTGACCTGGAACGAATTTTATATTGCCAGTTGGTTTTTGATAAACATAAACTAATGATAAAATCATCATCAATCAACTTCTTGCCTTAAAACCCTCTCAGTAATGATTAAAGATAAGAACTACGGTTGCCAATCCACTTGCCAAGCGTGGCAACTATGGAAAATATCCTTCCTATGAGGTAATCGAAGGGGGAGGCTTATGTTCAGCAGAGTAATTTAGGCTCTAACGGTAATCAGAGAGTAGAACGTATATCTGCAACTTTCATACTAACTTTCACGCTTTTATGCAACTAAAATTGCACTGCAAATAAAATTTCAGCAGTGGATTGCACTGTTTGGATGCTTATGAAGAATAAAAGATAAGATATTGTTTAGCTTGTATATTGGAATAAATCAATAAATTAATAAATAACCTTTTTTGCTGGAAAAGAGAGCATTTCATCTTAGTACTCACGGGTGACAACGCATCTGCATTTAATTCTTAACCGAGGGTAGATGTAGATGTCTATGGGCCACAGTAACTACTTACCATCATGTGGACTGTGTGCTCGTTTGTCACCCTATCCTATAAAAAAAGTATAAATTATTGCTAACACCTTTCAGAAGGAATGCCTAGTGTAACGGTTTTTAAATAAATAAAAAAATGAAATGGAATCTAGACTTTGATTTAACTTACCATAAAGCTATTAATAAAATAAAATTATTTTTTGTTTAAACATTAAATTTTACCTGGTGGAAGTCCAAGGCCCCAAGCGTTTATGTCGTTGATGTCGTTTGCATGGGGCTTAAAGCTCGCTATGGCATTGCGATGTATATCCGATCCTAAATACCTGAAAATAAAATTTAAATTTATTTAAAATTTATGACAATTTCATTTATACTTATATGTAGATATTGCCTTTATAAAATATTAAAATTAAAGATTTTATCGCTGTAAAGATTGAACTCATTTGATTTGATTGATTGAAATTTAATAGAAATTTCACAATAACATATTAGAAAAATGTAAGTAAATTTTCCCGTATATTACTTATTTTCATGCAAACTGTACAAGTTTCTACATAATTTATTAATTTCTTCTCAAAAGATAGGAGGTATATGCCCAGCAGTGAAACGTGTATATGTTGAAACTTTATATAACAATTTACATAATTTAACTGATTTACTTAAAAGGGCAAACCTAAGTTATATTAAAAATTGGTTGGACGATCTTGAGGAAACGTGCACATTTGAATTCAACAACATTTAGAATATTCATTTTACGTCATAAACCTCACAAAGATGAGCGTAGGCCTGTATTCAGTAATGTGACACATACATAAGAAAAATATTTTTTTTTTTAATTTTAATTATTAATTTACACGTTTTACGTTTGGTTTCACCGTATTTCGTAAATATATCAGTATCAATTAAAAGCCAATTTTTTTTATAGTAATGTCTTATTTGGGTCACAACATATTATCATAAATATTTCAAAACAAGATTAACGCAATCTTGTAGCGATAACAAACGGCGATTTTTTTTATATAACTGCAGCGATAAACAAAACTACAATACACCTGAAGGCTTTTTTCTTTATATGATAGGGTGACAAACCAGCGCACAGTCCACCTGATTGTAAGGGGTTGCTCTAACCCATAGACATCTACATTTATCCTCAATAAAGAATCAAAATGCAGATGCGTATTCACCCGTGAAGACTAAGATGGAATACCTCTTTTCCAGTAAAAAGGGTCTCCGGTTCTCTACATTCACCATGCGGAACACAGCTGTGTCAAGCTGTCATTCTACGCTGGTATTCTGTGAGAGCGTGGTCCTTCCCCGATCGAGCCGACCCATTCGTGCTACAACTATACTACTAATATAGCTGCAGCATGGCTCTACCACGTAAAAAAGTAAGTGGCTTCTAGAAGTCTATGGACACTTGCAGCCAACTTACAAATAGAGAAAGCTACAGATGCGTTATCATGTCTGAAGAAAAAAATGAAATGCACAGCATGTGATTATACTGACAGCCTTCAGACTGGAACAAAGTAATACACGCACAGCTATTTGATAGTTTAGCCGAGAAAGGAAAACCGGGGATCTCCAGCCAGGCAGGGTATTCAACCCGGGGAGTGGTATTTTTTTTTGGATAGGGTGACAAACGGGCACATAGTCCACCTGATAGCAAGCAGCCGCTGTGGCCCATAGACATCTACATCTACCCTCGTTTGCGAATCAGAATACAGATGCGTTGTCACCCGTGAGGACCAAGTTGGAATGCCTCTTTTCTAGTAAAAAGGGTCTCTGATTCTCTACACTCACCGTAAAAAACACAGCAGCATCAAACCGCCATTTTACGCTAGTATTCTGTGAAGAGCTTGGTCTTTCCCCGGTCGAGCTGACCCATTCGTGTTACAACTATAATACTAATAGCTGCAGCATGGCTATACCGCGTGTTATTTCGTAGCTGTTCATATATAGCGCGGTAGCTTCGTAACTTTGATAGCGCGATTTAGGCTTCGGAGGGTTTCGGTTGTGGCGCAACGACAGCGCCGCCACAATAGAAACCACATCAGTTATAATATCACACTGCAGTTGTCAATTATATGAAACATTAAGATCTGGTTCTGTTAAATATGCAACTTGCTACGTTTAAAATATGTCTTACTCGCTGCCAAGTCCAGGACCAGAGAGCTCCCATTCTTGATTATTATAATCGAGTATTTGTTGGTGTTCAGCGTGAGGTTTAACAACAGTAACAGACCCTGAATGCGAAGGGTGACTGTATGCTGGAGCATAAGGTGCCTGCGAAAAAAGGAAATTGTTTGTTTAGAACTAAAATTAAATTATACATCATCATCTTGCTCATTACAGCGCTTCACGTTTAGAACTAAAATTAAATTATACATCATCATCTTGCTCATTACAGCGCTTCACGTTTAGAACTAAAATTAAATTATAAATCATCATCATGCTCATTACAGTGGTTCACGCCACACAAGTCCACTGCTAAACATAGGCCTCCCCCAAAGAATGCCATAAAGCACGGCCCCGAGCCACCTGCATCCATATCATATGGATCTGAGACGTGGTGAATGTATGAGTAAGGTCAAAGTAGCTCAGGGAGCTACGGAGTTTCTCTGCGTGATAGACTTGAAAATGAGAGTATCTGCAGTAGAACCAGAATAACAGATATGGCCAAACGTATTAGAAAGCTTAAGTGGCTATGGGCGGGCCATATAGCTCGAAGAATCGAAAACCTATAGGAAAGAAAGATTTTCAAGTGGCAGCTTTGTACTGCAGCATAAGCAAAGTGTAGGGCGCTCCTCTACTAGATGGAGTGATGAGCCGTTAAAAGATGCAGGAATTATACACTAAGCGTTTTGTTTTAACAGTGGTAGAGCCACGCGGCAGCTTTTGCTTTCGCACGGATGGGACGGCTCGAACCGGGGTGGTACCACGACCTCACAGAAAACCAACGTGAAGTAGAGGTTTACCTCTGCGTTTCGCTTGGTGAGTGCAGGTGGCCGGAGGCCCTTTTTACTGGAAATGAGGCATTCCATCTTAGTCCTCACGGGTGACAACGCATCTACATTTTGATTTGTAATAGAGGATAGATGTAGATGTCTATGGGCCGCATCAACCACTTACCATCAGGTGGACTGTGTGCTCGTTTGTCACCCTTATCCTATAAAAAAGTGTATATAATATATATATATGTATATATATATATATATATATATATAACACGTGCCCCAATAAATAATAACCCAACTGCACCATTGTTGAGTATCAAGCTCTAAATAAATACTTCAATGTGTAGATTGCATATAGCTATATATTGGTTGGTATATAAGTGGTAGCCGTAATGCATGCGTTCGCGACCAGGTGGTTCCAAGCAAGAAGTGCGTTGTAGTGCCGCGTTGTTTCCATGATGGTGGTGGGGCCGGGAAGCGCTCGCAGAACCTGTTTCAGCTTTGCTGGATGACGATACTAACCAGGGAGAATAATAGGCAATGACGTCAGGAACGACCATTGAGGGCCTACGGTTCATATACCACTAAGGCCCAACATTCAATAGCTAAAAACTACAAGGTTTTTTTTTATAAAACTATAACGACAAACAAAATTATAATCTACCTAATGGTAAGTGACCACTGCAATCCAAGGACAACTGAAGCTAATTTCAAACAAAGAATGATATAGGTGCGTTGACACCTCTCGGGATTAAAATGGAATGCCGCTCAGCCTGTGAAAATACAGCGGTGAAAATATCGCTGTTTGTCAGCAGAATTAAATATGGTACTGATGGTGTTGTCATTTCATATCTTCGATATTGCATTCTAGTCTCCCGATGTAATGTGGCGCTAAGAGCGGTACACTGTCCAACATGACAATCACAATTACATAACATTTGTAAATCACTAATTCGATATTTGTATTTTACAACAAATTTTGTTTTTGGCTGGCATTTGAATTTGCAACTTAGTAGCCAGATATTTTCATCTTTGGGTGACACAGTCGTCATTTTTTTATAGGATAGCGTGACGAACGAACACACAGTACACCTGATGGTAAGTGGTTGCTGTGACCGATAGACATCTACATGTATTCTCAATAAAGAATCTAAATGCAGATGCGTTGTCACCCGTCAGGACTAAGATGAAATGCGTCTTTTCCAATAAAAAGGGTCTCCGTTTCTCTACACTCACCATACGAAACATAGCAGCATTAACCTGCTATTTTACGCTGGTATTCTGTGAAAGCGTGATCCTTCCCCGGTCGAGCCGACTCATTCGTACTACAACTATACTACTAATATAGCTGCAGCATGGCTGTACCATGTATAAAATAATCATAAATAATTGTGGCGGCGCTGTCGTCGCGCCACAAGCGAAACAAATCGAAGCCTAAATCGCGCTAACAAAGTTCCGAAGTTAAAGCAGGTATATAGAATAGCTCCGAACAACCACTAGGAGCGTTGGCCCCCGGGTAGACACCTTGCCCGGCGGGAGATCTCCCCTTTTCCTTAGATAGAGAGATAAATGTAGATGTCTATGGGCCAAAGCATCAACTTACCATCAGGTGGACTGTGTGCAGCTGACTCTACCACGTACAAAATCGTCATATCACTCAATACATAATTAATTAATCATTTCTATCTCGTGTAAATGGAAAGAAAGCGTTAATTGAACCGTGAAAGTTGGTGAACACAACATAAAAATTATCAATAAAATTAACATAACAAAGGTTTCGATAAGTATATATGAAAGTTTATTAATAACTGTGAAAAATATTTAAGAAAAATCATCTTCTTTATCAGTATTGTTAATTGACACTTTTATTTGACTTAGTTTGGCGAGTTATAGTGGCGTAAAAGGATTCATCACAACAATTTGTCTCGTGGGTGTCGTGTGAGGCGATAAAGAATAGCTTGCGATTGTTTCTATATAATTTTTTATAGGAGAGGAGACAAACAAGCATATGGCTCACTGATGGTAATTGACTACCACCGCTCGTGAACAACTGCAACAACAAGGAAATTGCAGGTGCGTTTCCGGCTTTTTAAAAAGCAGTAAGCTCTTTTCTTGAAGGTCCCTAAGTCGTATCGGAAATCGCCGGTGGTAGACTATTCCACAGAGAGGTCGTACGCGGAAGAAAAGTCCTAGTGAAACGTATAGTGGTGGACCGCCAAGCATGCAGATGGTGTGGATGGTATTGGAAGTTTTGCTGCAATATGCGTTCATGAAATTTGGCGGCTGGGATTAGTCCAACAATTCCTCAGAGCACTCCCCGTGGTAATTACGAAAGAAAATGCAAAGCGATGGAACATCTCTTCGCAGCGCCAGTGAATCGGACCGATCGGAAAGGACTCGATCGGCGACGATTCGAGCCGATCTGCGCTGAATGCGGTCAAGTGGAATGAGCTGGCACTGGGGAGGTCCAGCCTGGAAATGGGAACAGTATTCCATGTGAGGCCGAACCTGCGCCTTGTAGAGTTGCAGGCGTTGTACCGGTATGAAATACTGTCCCGCTCTGCTGAGCACGCCAAGCTTTTTAGAGGCCAATTTGGCCTTCTCTTCCAAGTGACCACGAAACTGCACGTCACTTGATATGTCGACGCCTAGGATTCCGATATTGGCTGGGCAACAAGGGGAGTACCTTGAAACTGAGGAGATACGACAAAGGGGTTCTTTTTAGCGGTAAACGCGCAAACTTGTGTCTTCTGAGGATTAAACTGGAATAGATTTAGTCACCCCAAATCCGAGACTTTGTTCAGCAAAGACTCAACTTCAGACACAAGTTTGTTCCGGTACTCGGCGACGTTTTCCCGAGAAATATTGGCACGATCGGTGTATAGAGCATCACAAGTGCTATCATCTACATGAAAATGTATGTTATCGGTTTGCAACATATAACTGATATGCAGAAGAAACAGCGTTGATGATAGCACGCAGCCTTGTGGAACACCTGCGTTGATAGGCTTTTAGTCGGAGCATGCACCGCTACAACGACTTTGATGCTCCGATCTGCAAGAAAGCTGATGATTCAATTGCACAATTTCTTGGGAAGCCCATAGGAAGGGAGCTTCGAAAGAAGCGCTTTGTGCCAAACCCGATCGAAGGCCTTTGCAATGTCCAAACTAACGATCAATTCTACGAGTATAATAATCTCGTAACCACCAAACCTAAAAACCCAGCGGTACACCGGTTGCATATCCAATTGCCAAACATTGCGACTACGGCAAATTTTCCATTCAACGGGTAGTATATATGTCCAGGTGCAGACTTTTAATGGGTCAGATAGGGGATGAAACTCAAATTTTATCAGATTTGCAAATATTTCCCTTGTTTCATGAAAACGTTTACTGTGTTAACACGAAATACCATTGCAGTCTTTAGGGATTACAACATTTTTAATCTTTATCGATAACAATAGACGTAGGTGTCTATGGTGGAAATAAATTAAAATTCACCGTATAGAAATATAATTAAACTTAATACAAATGAAAATAATCCGTTAAAAGTCTAAAATGAATTTTAAAGAAGGAATTAATAAACAAATTCTAACTCACCTTATGATGATGATGCGTGATTAAGTGATGGTGGTGATGATATTTGGTTGTATGGTAATTCTGGTGGTACCATGAGCACAGTTTAAATATATGACTCAATGCTGGGAACAGGAACAGCAAGAATTTCAGGAACATCTTCTTAGCGGTTGTCACTCCCAAAATCAATGGCAGCACGAATACTAACTTCAAAGCTATCAACTTTACCACCAATATAATTGCAAGTGCAGCCATTACTAGTTTCTTTTTTATGTACTTTTCTGAAACAATCATATGACTTTTTAATTTATTCTTAAAAAATGCACACACGTAGTTACTGATATAATGATATCACCAAACTGTTGAACATTTTGGTCAAACACATAGTTGATGGAAACTTTGATTCCGCTTACAGTTTTCGTAAAAAGATTGTAGACAGTATGACTAGTATTTAATCTCGTGCAACCAGCTTGTGTTTTCTAATACCAAACGGATAAACTACGTTCTTTTCTTTTAAAGTTACGTGTACATTATGCGTGGTAGAGCCATGCTGCAGCTATATTAGTAGTATAGTTGTAGCACGAATGGGTCGGCTCGACCGAGGAAAGACCACGCTCTCACAGCTTAAAAAATGGCAGCTTAACACTGCTGTGTTTCGTATAGTAAGTGTATAGAACCGGTGATATATTTTACAGGAAAAGGGGCATTCCATCTTAGTCCTAACGGGTGACGACGCATCTGCATTTTGATTCATTATTGAGGATATATGTAGTGTCTATGTGTCACAGCAACCACTTACCATCAGGTGGGCTGTGTGCTCGTATGTCACCCTATCCTATAAAAAAAATAAAGTGCATGCTGTGTTTACTTGTAAGTAGTCACTACACTTAGCTATTCTATTATTTAAAATTTCATTGTGTAGGTTGACAGTTAGTAAGCCATACTAATAAAATAAAATAAAATAAAATAAGAAAACAATTTTTTTTTGGCGAAATTACACTCAATCTAAGATCTTTAACTTACTACACGTAAAACATTATAATAATTTTATTTTTAAATTTTATTTTTTATGCAAACACACCTACTACAATACTACATACTAAAGTTACATTACCTTAATTTCTTTTTTATAAACATATAATTTCCTATTTCTACCAAACAGCAGTGCTGGTACCGCTGTGTCCGAAACGAAAGGGTATAGGGAGCCAATATAAATACAGGCTGAGGCATTCCGTCTTAATTCTAAGAGGAGTTAACGTATCTGACGCCTTTTTTGTTTAAAGTTGACTGTAGGTTTCCATGGGTTGCAGTAGACGCTTAACATTAGGTGGACTATAAATTCATTTGTCACTTTACACAAAAAATTCAGTTAATAATCCAGTTAACGACGAGTTTAAGTTAAACCACAGAGCCGTGATGGTTCAAAATATGTGGGTGCGTCGTAAGAATTACAAAACTGTCATAATAACTTACAAGGTTGGGCCCTAAGTGATTTAAATCCATATTAAATAAAACTAATTTGAACGAATTTCATTACAATTGTTTTAACTTTATAAAAAAGACAGTATTCACGTAAACATAACATGCCAATAGCAGTGTGATGACAGCGTAAAATAATCCACTACCCATTGTCGTTTTATAGGTGTCGTCCTACGGTAGATTTTTTTTTAATAAAAATCGTCACCCCTACAGTGTGATTTTCTCCTATATCATGGCGGCGGTTTTTATGCATAAATAGCACAAGGACACACATCCAGGCTCAGAATTTGTAGGTCATATAAACTTTTCCTGCGGGATTTCTGCCACTGTGCTACAGAGATCTCTGCCGGCTCTTTTGTCTGGCATAGAATACTTGGTATAACCAAATCATATATGCCAGACGAATATATCCAGACCAGCGACGGAAAACAGCGTCAAAATTGCGAGACGTCTGGTACCAATGCCAAGCGTGACGATTAGGGTAAGCGTGACGGCACAGTCGGGAAAGGACCCTTCACAGAATACCAGCGTGAAATAGCAGCTTAATGCTGCTGTGTTTCGAATGGTGAGTGTAGAGAACCGGAAACCCTTTTTACTGGAAACGATGCATTTTACCTAAGTTCTTAGAGAAGACAAAGCGTATTTCTTTTGCCCAAAACTGAGGATAGATGTAGATGTCTATGGGCCCCACAATCGATTTTTATTAGGTGAATTGTGTTCTCGTTTGTCATCCATATTCTATTTAAAAAATATTGAGTTACGTACTTATCTTATGAAAAAATAATCTTCCTTGTCCAACAGCATCTTTTTTCGGTTCTAAATCTATATGTACGAGCGCCCCTGTCTTGGTTAAAGCCCTTGGTGAGACTTTTAAGGTAGTCCCATGGAAGAATAGCTCAGGTAACGTCAGTTTTAAATCGTGCTCCATCAGAAACTTCACTCCTTTGTTATATAAAGCGTCAGTCACTTCTTCTAATGGAGATTCTGTAAATAAAAGAAATATTAAAATATTTTTTCCTACGTATGAATCATAGTACTATTTTGTAAAATAAAAGTCCCAAGTAGTCCATTTGGGAAAAATTTTAACAAATATGTATATTAACTTTTATACGTGGTAGAGTCATGTTGCAGCTATATCATGGTTCGGCTCGACCGGGGAAGGACCACGCTCTCACAGAATACCAGCGTAAAATAGCAGCTTAACGCTGCTGTGTTTCGTATGGTGAGTGTGGAGAACCGGAGATCCTTTTTACTGGAAACGAGGCATTTTATTTTAGTCCTAACGGGTGACAACGCATCTGCATTTTGATTCGTAATCGAAGATAAATGTAGATGTCTATGGGCCACAGCAACCACTTACCATCAGGTGGAATGTGTGCTCGTTTGTCACCGTTATCCTATATAAAAAAAAACTTTGGCCTTTCAGTAGATTTTCGAAAATTTAATGTATGTACACAAAAACATAAGTTTTAGAAGTTGCCGTTACCGTTACAGTATGTATATTGAAGTCCACTGCTGAATATAGGTATCCTGTAGCAAGCTACCTCATAAGGGGGATATTCGCCATAGTTGCCACAGTTGGCAAGCGGGTTGGCAACAGTAGTTTTAGTTTTAGTATTAATTATTTTTAGGAAGACGCTGCTGACATTCTCCTGCTTTGTTTCCCTCTGTCGCCTCTTACGTCACCCACGGGATGACATGGGATAGTGGATATACTTACACAGCCTATATACAAGTTACTCGACTCCAAAGAGTTAGTAATTATTTTATAAGATAACATATCCATCAAAATGCTTAAAATTTTTATTCATATAATATTAAAGAGTACATGATTGATAATAACCCCTGAGAATAAGCCAATCGCTACCATGCTGTTTCTTAATGTTTCTATTTTTAAATGCACACCGTATTATTGTAATGTGAAAGAATGTTAAAGAAATAAGTCCTAGTCTTTCAGTAAGACGTTTTTAATGAAATTAGATTGAATAACGAGCACACAGTCCACCTGATGATAAGTGAATGCTGCGGCCGGTAGACATCTACATCTATCCTCGGTTAGATGTAGATGTCTACGGTTATTCTGATTTACCCACAGCCTAACTAGACTGGAGCCTAGGGCGCAAGGTTTAAGGGGGAGCTGAGCTTGTCTTTGCAACCACCACTTTTATATACAGAATAAAATTTGGTATAACATTCTCAATCAATAATATAGTAAGTGCTTTTATATATAAGTAATTTTATGTGTTGTTCTTTTTATTTTTGATACAAGAAAAATAAATAGATTGTAGAAATACGACTGAATTATTGTCTTTCATTGACTAACTGGACATGATTCCAACATTTAAAACTGCTCAAGCTCTCTTCTAGAGAAGAGAGCTTAAGCAGTTTTAAAACCGCAAGTTTTAGACCGCTAATTTTGTTAAGGTGTTTTGCCATGGCTGTCCAAGGCAATTTCTGTCAGCCATCCGTTCCATCTCTGTACATGGAGAACGACTCACTGGTCCATGCCGCAAAGGAGAAAGTACATCTTTCAGGTTCTCTTTTTGAGTCCAATTCAGCTCTCGACGATGTAAGGTACGCACCGCCACCCACCCGTTGTATATTTGCTACATGCTGGATGTGCGATTAAAACAGCGCTCAGCAAAGCTTTTCTCTCTCTGGACCGCCAATGTGGTCACTAATCAGCTAGATCTAGTTCTAATCTTCTAATTTACCTGACTCATAGATGAGCGGAAGTAGTAGAGTCCAAAAAGTTGTTACTTTGGACATAGCGAAGGCCTTTGATGGGCTTTGGCACAAGGCGCTTCTTTAGAAGCTTCCTTTCTATGGGCTTCCCAAGAAATTGTGCAATTGAATCATCAGTTTTCTTGCAGATCGGAGCATCAACGTCGTAGTAGATGGTGCATACTCCAACTACGATCCTATTTATGCTAGTGTTCTACTAGGCTACATTCTATCACCTACGCTGTTTCTTCTGTATATAAATTAAATATGTTGCAGTAACTGGTTGTAATACTGGTGATGTTTTTTATACCGGCTTAGCTAATATTTCTCGAGAACACGTCATCGAATATCGAAACAAACTTGTGTCTGAAGTCATATCTATAATAAACAAAATCTCGGACTCTAGTCCAGTTTTACCTTCAGAAGAAACAGTTTTGCCCGTTTACCGCTAAAAACTCCTTTGTCGTAGCTATTCGTATTTTAGGGCACTTTCTCCACATACTGCTTCAGCAAGCATCAGAATCATCGGAATCGAAATTTCGAATGACGTACAATTCCGCGGTCACTTAGAAAGGTAGGCTAAATTGATAAAAATCTTGGCATGCTCAGCAGAGCGGAACAATATTTGAAGCAGGCACACCGTTTGCAATTTTACAAGGCGCAAGTTTTTTTTGTTTATAGGAGAGGCGGCAAACGAGCATACGGCTCACCTGATGGTAAGTGACTACCACCGGCCATGAACAACTGCAACACTGAAAGGAGTAAGCTCTTGAAGGTCCCTAATTTGTTCCCGCCCGGAAAAATTTCTGGTGGTAAACGACACCAAGGATTCCGATACTGGCTAAGGCGACAAGAAAAGTGCCTTGAAACTGAGGAGATACGACAAAGGGGTTATTTTTAGCGGTCCGCATAGCAATGAATGTTACCGCTTCGCAACATATCATTGATATGCAGAAGAAACAGCGTTGGTGATAGCAAGCAACTTTGTGGAACACCAGCATTAATAGGCAACTACAAGCCTGAGGAGCATGTACCGTCTACAACGACCTTGATGCTTCGATCTGCGAGAAAGCTGGTGATCCAATTGCGCAATTTCTCGGGAAGTCCATAGGAAGGGAACTTCGAAAGAAGCGCTTTGTGCCAAACCTGATCGAAAGCCTTCGCAATGTCCAAACTAACGGATAATGGGCTCTTCTGACACCACCCATATATGAGTCAGGTAGAGCAGAAGATCACGGGCTGATCGACCCCGACGAAAACCGTATTGGTGATCACTAATGAGCTGATCTTCAAGGTCGGTACCTTAAACTGGCAGTTTATAATGGATACCATTATTTTGGAGAACAAGGAGTTAATGGCGATAGGCCTGTAGTTAGACGGGCCTGAGCGGTCACCTTTTTTAGTGATCGGGTGGACAAAAGCTGTATTCCATGTTTTCGGAACTACGGCTTCCTAGTACCGAAAAAGACGCGTTAGAACCGGTACCAACTCCGGAACACACGTCCTCAGCACAACTGTATGGGATGTACTTGGGATTCCGTCAGGCTCACGCGACTTGTGGATGTCCAGAGAGAGGAGTGCTTTGCGAACCAAGCGCTGTGTGAACCGCACATCTGGTATGGAGCACTCACACCGCGGTATGGTCAGCGGTATGTTCACCCTGCCATCGAGAGTCGAGTTGGACGCAAAGAAAGAGCCTAGCAGATCGGCTTTCTCGTTTGCGGCATGGGCCAATGAGTCGTCTTCCCTGTGCAGACATGGCAGAGATGGCTGACAAAGTTCTCATGAACAGCCTTGGCGAGAGCCAGAATGCACGGGTTCTCAAAGGAAGGTGAACTAGTTTCTCGCCAATTCTGTCTATGTGCTCTGACTTTGCTTTGGCAATGACTGTTTTGAAGGACCTCGAGGCGGAATTATACTTCTTTTTAAGAGTGCTCGTATTTACATCCCGGGACGTTGATGCTTCAGCCCAGGCCCGGTAGCACTCCTGCTTGTAGCGTGATGCTATTTTACAGGAGCGACTAAACCATTGCTGAGATCTGCCTCAAATGGCCATCACAGAGAAGGGAATAAAAGTTCCATACCTTGAAGTACCACATCACAACAGAATTAGCAATGTTGGGATCCTCCGGTGAGAAAACAACCCGCTTCCAAAGGTAGGATACAAAGAAAGACCGCATCCTATCCCAATCGGCCGACCTATAGTGCCAAACACGGCGGCAGCCTGCAGAACGCTGCCGCAATTTCACCGTGAGTGGCACCACAAACTGGACTAGACAATGGTCCGAGGAGCCAAGTGGGGCGTGCGAAGAGACTTGATATATGTCCGGATGAGAGATCAATAGAAGGTCCAACAGGAAAGGTACATGATCCCCCACATCTGGAATCTGCGTAGGCGAAGTAACCAGTTATGTCAGACCATATGCTAAGGTAAAATCATGAACAGAACTCCCTGCATGATCGGTTAAACTTGAACCGAGCCATTCGGCTTGGTGGGCGTTAAAATCGCCAAGGATCACGATCTCTGCGGATGGGATCTGTTCTAGCAAGGAATCTGTAGCCATTTGGACGTGGTCGATGAGTCGGTCTGTTTTGGCATTACCGCTATGGGTTCTATAAACGCACGCGTGGACGCGAGGATGGTCGTCGCTGTCTACGCTTAGCCAAAGGATGGACAGGTACGAACCTTCAAGACTGCCGCGGCGTCGAGAACAGATGTCCTTTCTACGCAAACTCCAGCCCAAGGCACAACGGAGTGTTCCAATTTGTACCCCGGGTAGGAGAGATACGAAGTATTAGCCGGAGAGGACACCTATGTCTCGGTTAGAAAGAGCATAGCCGGCTTCGCCGTCTCCAGACGATAGGTTCGAGTGAAGTCCCCTGATGTTGCAAAAATTCACGGATAGCATGGCAGGGGAGAATACGCAGCAGCCTGAGCACTCACACTCAGGAGTGGAGTAGCTTGGTCGTGGATGCTCAGCAAGGGATTCTCCGGGAGTGCTGGTAACCTACTGTGGTAGTCTACCGTTTAATTAGGCCTCCGGTCACCTGCACTCACCTGTCGAAATGCAATAGCAGAGCTTCCACTTCACGCCGGTATTCTGTGAGGTCGTGGTACCACCACTCCGGCTCGAACCGCCCCATATATGCAAAAGCAAAAGCTGCCTCATGGCTATGCCACTATTGAAGTTTGCCCTCACATGGAATACTGTTCTCATTTCTGGACCGGGGCACCCCAGGGCCAGCTCTTTCCACTTAAC